TCTATAAGCAGAAGGCCAAAACATTTCCAAGGGATTTCACCATTTAGAAAAGAATGAACAAGGTCACAGGTGGCGAAAACTCTGTGCCAGCAGCTCTTGGGCTCCACACAGAATAAGGGTTATTTCTGATGATTCTTCTTCACACAGGAAAATGTTGCAAAGTCAGATTTTTTTTTTTTTTTTTTTTTTTTTGCAGGCTATGAAGGAGTTCCTTATAACAGCTGAGAGAGAAGAGAAGCAGTGTGTGATGATGAGCTAATTTGCCTTTCAATGAGATTTGAAGTCTGACAACCTTATGAAGAATTAGGATCTTTTTCTTTCAGTCACTGCCATGACACAGATTTGTGTGACATTTTTATATTGAAATGACTGGAGCTGCATTGGATCATTCTTCACCTATAATCTTACTACAGTTTCTGAGTACATCTGAAAGGTGATCTCCGAAATATGATACATTGCTGGGTGAGGAGGACAGAAAATTATTTCAGTTTCTTAGACTGTTGACTCACTCATCCACAGAAAAGTTCAATGTCTGCAGAAGTTGGAAGCTGACCAGATCCATGTTTTTCCAAAAATATGACAGTTGGAAAATTGTTAATTGCTCTTGTTTTTGAGACATTAGGTCACAAAATACAATGCAGTGAGATACTGATATTGCAAATAGATTGACATTCTTGAAAGTATTTTTTTTTCCTATGAGTTATTCTTTTCTATAACTTGATTTAATGTAGGCATTCATGTTTTTTTAAGTGGTCTTGTTATAGAAAATGAAAATACAGCTTTACAGTTAATCATATCTGAGGTACTTTCTGATAGGCTTATATGTCTTATGATTGCCATTATGGCATACAGACAAATAGCCGTACCACTTTCCACCATGATTACATATTCCTTCTGTTTAACCAATTACTACTTGTTGTTTTTTTTTTCCCAAACACTTCTAATTGGATTACCCTTCTGACAGTATAAGGAACTTCTTTCTATTTTTGAAACTTTAATTTACTTTTCTAATTCTCTGATTCAAAGATATTACTGGCAATAGTTCTATTGGTAGAATTGTTTTCATCGTAAGAAGTGATCACAGTGGGAGGGAAAGCAAGAATAACAAAGGTAGTGGTGTCATCCCGTGACTAGTTGCCAATTTGTCACAAAAGAAGCCTCACCAAAGCGATGGTGAACCTGCCCTTTATTTGATACAGCAGCATTGCTGGTTCTGATCCTTCAGGATAGGTGTATGCTCTGCTGTACTTGCATGATCACTGTGGCCAAGACAACTTATCACAAGTGTAAAATCGACCATTTGCTTGAATGCTTGCAGGAGAAGGTTCCAGAAATTTATGCATTAAAATTCTGACTTGCTCTCTGCTTTCATGGTATTGGGTAAAATCCAAAATAAAAAGGCATCATCCTGCATCCAAAATTTTAATTAACGTGTACATTTGGCTAAACACTTTCCAAAGCTTGTCCCACTTATTTACTTCCTTGAACTTTTTTAAAGGTAAAATAAACCACTAAAGCTATACAGATGCACAGAAGATCCATGGAAAGAAGGGGGGGAGGATTGTAAAAGATACATGCATAACTTAAAAGGATCTCAAACACTAACTATGTCATCTTTTTAGGGTAAGCATCACAGGCATGCTATTATCAGTGCCGGACTGATAACATTGGTATGAAGGGGGGAAAAGAAGGCAAAGAGAGTTTAGGAAAAACAGAACAGGATTGTTTAAAAAATAAAAAAAATCTTTGAATCTTTGGGACTGGTGATGTTTTATGAAACAATATACACTGTAAATAATTTTTTGTGTAATTTAACTTTGGCAGTGTATACCACAGGGATATGATTTAAATTATGCTTATTCTATAGACTCGAGACTTTTATCCAGATTAAAATAAATCCCAAATCCTGTTTATCCAGTCCATGCATAATTATGTGGAACTGTTTTTACCAAAATACATTATGCAATGAAACATAATCAGAGAGATGTAGAAATGAAGCAGAAGGGAACAACTAAACAAATAAACAATGTTCTCAGCATATTTCACCTGCAGATCTTTAAAGCTAGTTTTAAGTCTAGCCATTTCAAATGAGCATATTATCTTCTGGTTTTCAATATAAAGCGTAGGCTTTTGTTTAGGAAATCAAGTTTACTTAGTCTTAGTGCAGTATTATTCCTGAGGTTAAAAATTGTGGGGTGTTTTTTCACTTTTCCTGAATTCTTAAGTATATTTCTGATGATAATTAAAAGCATCTTTTGAAACCTATTGTCTAATATTATTTTTATATATATATATGACTAGGTGTGTGTGCATACATTACATGTACATATATATATATAAAATGTAAATTATTCATGCATTTCATATTTCAAAGGAGAAAGAGGACTGAGTTTTTTGAATTTTATTCACTTTTCAGTCATGAAATGAAAAAGAAAGATGTTGGATCAAATTCTGCCTTCAGATATTTGCAAAAAACTCCCACTAAATATTGACAGGAGTCAAACACATTTCTTTGAGGACAGTATTAGCCCTTTGGTGTGTAAATGCAAATATTTCATGCAAAATTAATTTAATACCACATGCAAATCCATCTCATATGCACATGGCTTATAGCCAAGAAAACTTCATTGGTGCTTGTGCTAACATGCATATACAGTTTGAACTAAGAGCATTCACGCAAAGGAAAATACAGAATGATCAGCATGGCAACTTTGTCAGTGACATTCCTACAGAGCAACTATCTAATGCAAACCAATATGCACATGACCTTTTTTGGGCAGAGAAGCACGATTTGAGTTGTGGGGTAAAACAGTGATTAATAAATGTGGTTAGTTTCATATTTCTTAATGCCTAATTTTTAGTAACCATTTTGCCCCACATCTGATCCTACTTGGATTATTTCCCTTTACTATCTACAACTTCATCATGCAAAAATTAGAAAGCATTGAACAAGCTCTAAACCCGAGAGATAACATGGATATTCTCCACACTTTATACTGGAATTAAATTTGACATAAATACCTCCTGCTCTTACCAGTGGGTGGTGTTATTCCATGTATTTAGGTATGAAGCAGACAGGAAAGAGATAAATCTTTCATAAGTACAACATAAATCACACAATTCTTATATTATCCTTGTGCTAAGTGTAGTATATTCAAACTTGATTTTTAAGAAAATTAAGCAACTGCCATATAACTTGAGGGATAGAATTGTGAGCAGAATAGGAAATAAAATATAACAAAATGAGATACTGAACTTGATTTTTGTCACATTTTATTTAAAACAAAGCCTTCACACTGCCTCACAATCATGTTGCAGAATATGGGCTCTTTAATCCGTTTAGTTAGTAGTTCACATTAATGACAAATCCAAGACTAATTCCAGTACACCAATGCCTGCATTATGCAAAGTTTAACCTGACAATATCCAATTTTAGTTACTATTTCATATGAAACAGGTGTTCTTAGTACATCCGTTACTGGTAATGAATTAGTTAAGGCATACATGATTTTGTAATATCTTCAGAAATAATTCAATGAGCTACTTTAGGCTTAGGCTGCACCCACTGGCATCTTAAGGGCCTGATCCTGCAAAGTGCTGAGTACCCCACAATCCCATTTCCATCAGAGGGAATTAGGGTCATTCAGTGCCACGCAGGACAAAGCTACCAATGCTGCCTTCCACTGCAGCAATCCCCAGCAGAGGTTTATACAAACATTCTTGTCCTGTGCTGGGCATAATATCCCTCTGGAGGGGACACTCATGGAAGTGAGAGGTGAAGCCCGATATATTTAATTTACCGTCTTACTTTTAAGATCTGCTTTACTTAATGGTAACCATAGAGTCAAGCTGACAAATGATTCAGCTTTATAAAAGTTTTTAATGAAGACTATTGTTTCTGCTTACTGCATAAAAGTGTACCGCTCTGGCAGTCATTCACAAATGTATGTATAGATATCACATGGAAGCTGTTTGAATTTATGTCAAAATTTTGGAGGTTGATTTCTAGTTAAAACGTTACAAAAATGTATAGATTTTCTTGTTCTTGCCAACTTCATGGAGAGCTCTGCAGAGTCTCTAACCCGTAACTCAGAATAGCTCTGGAAAGCATCCCTCTAGAGACACAGATTTGCAGATCCTTAAGATGCACAATACTATACTCTCAGTGTATTCAAAACTATGTGAAGTTTTCAGAAAAATTGTTACTGTCTCCAGAATACAAGCCAGAAATATAGGTTCTTACTTTTGCTTATTAGCAGATTGTTATTCCTTTTTAGCTGGCAACATAATATATTTTTACATAAGCAGCAAGTACAGGTTTTTTATTGAGAACAGAAATATGAGTGTTGTACCTTGTCACTTCCTAGATATGAGATTCTGTGGATTGCTAAATGGTTGATAGTACTGTGTTGGCTTTCAGTGCAGAATTACACGGTTGTGAATGCAAGCAAACTACTGTTTGCACTATTGTACGATTAGCTTATTTCACTCTGAAAAGAGCAGCTAATTAATCCACCTGCCTGCTCCTCTCTTCCACCCACCCCCAATACACCTGTTCTAGATTACACCACAGGATTTTGAAAAGGAATTGATCATAAGTTTTACAGAAGAGTAACTCTATATATACCAACAAAGGAACTACTGTTTGATACTGGAAGTGGAAAATCAGGCCAAAGAACAAACAAAATTCTGGAACAACTATGTCTGAAATAAGAAACCTGTGATTTTTTTTCTTGTCTTAAGCTTGTAATAGTCAGCTACAGATCTCAAGCTTTCCTACGCACAGTGAGAGTTCAGATTTCTGATATAGCTTGTAATAATCTAGGCAGTTGTTTGGGTGCTAACTTGTAATTGCTTGATTTTCAATAATTGCTATATATCCACCTTCTTAAGCTTGTACTTTTACAGCTCATAAATAATGAAGACTTAGAAACTCTTTCTAAATTCTCACGCATTTATCTATTCCTCAGCATCCATGCCTGAAAAACAAAACAACATACCATGTTCATGTCGATGCCATTGGTGTATGTCCATGCATGCTGGAAGTATTCCTCAAGTCTCTGCCGCAGAGGGTTGGGGATTTGATGAAAGCGTATAAACTCCTTTACTCGCAGCATCTGCATGTGATACCGTGCAGTTCCCGAGTAGAGTCTTTGGATTATTGCAGATACGTTTCCAAAAATGCTAGCATACATTAATGCTGGATTAAACAGAAGCAAAACTTACTTTCATATCATTGGGTTTTGCAGATGATGCAACAGTTCTTATAGTGTACTTTGTACATAAAACAGCTCAGATGAGACTAATAACATTTTCAGAAATGTCAAATTTATTTACTTGAAGCTTTTTATTGATTTGATTGTACCAGTACCAACTCAGCAGATGAAGCTTAAATATTAAATCATAATCAACTTGGTAATATTTATCTTTGGAGATTTGTAGTCCTGAATTTAGTGTTGTAAATTAGGTTTATCTAATTTTACGGACTTTGGTAAACTAAGAACTAGGAACTAAGGTTAAGTACAAGATAAGAACAAAGGGCAGAGTTAAGAAGGTATGTATACATTTATAGGTTCAGGGTTTAAATCATCAAATAAAATACAATTATGGTTATCCAAAAAATGATGGGCTATAGTTTCCTAAATCCACTCAAAACTCAGCTTCCTACTGTATACAGGATTTGTTTAGAGACAGATACACAACACAAAACTTCTGACAGTTTGGGTAACAGATTTTGAGTAGTCAAGCAACTTGACTACTTCCTGACACTGCATGAGTCACAACATATTTTTGCATATAACATTGCTTTCCCTGTGAATTTGCCCTTTCAGCTGTATGCTTATAATCTTATTAGTTTAGACCATTAAGTCAGTTGCTCAAACACTGAGAAAAAAATAAAAAATTTAGTAAGATAAAACTACTTACAGCCGATCAACATGACACAGATGGAAAAGATTTTCTCTGAGTTGGTGTTTGGAGACACATTTCCAAATCCTACACTTGTCAGACTGCTGAAGGTAAAATAAAGTGCTGTAACATATTTGTCCTTGATGGATGGTCCAGAGCTTGCATCACTCTTATTATAATGCTTTCCTAATTGTTCTCCTAGAGAATCCAACCAGCCAATCTTGTGAGCCAAGTAAGGTCTTTCTACATTTCCAATGGCATACCAAATGCAAGCAAGCCAGTGTGCAATTAGTGCAAATATGCACATAAGGAGCATCAGAACTGCAGCACCATATTCTGAATATCTGTCCAATTTCCGTGCTACCCTCACCAAACGCAGCAGTCTAGCTGTCTTCAGAAGACCTATTAATGTTGTTGTCTGTAAAAATAAGATAGAAATTGATTTTTTCCGTTAGCAAATGTACTCTCACGACTAGTCAGCATGAATAAACCAGTGCAAATTCCGTTATTTTGGGGAATCAACAAAACAGGTAGATTAACCCATTTCAATGTAAACTTAATTTCGTATTCTTTAAACTATCAATTTTATTATAAAAACAGTGAAGAAAACAATAAGAAATGCACATTTTAAAGTCAGATATATTGAAGTTGTCATTATCTGCTGAATACTCTTTCATTTTGAATATTATTCTTGATCTAGACTCTTCAATCCACCCTAATGGACTTAAATGGTCTAATTAGATTAATGATGCTTTGGCATGATAAAGTCTGTAAGGTATTGGAACTACTCATAAATATATGACTAGCCTTGTAGGTAACAAGTATTTATGATGTTTGAACAAAGCTGTGTGACTATATTTGATCCTAACTTAGACTGTCCTTGCAATGCTCTGGCACACATGTTCTAGAAGAGAGAAGGAACAGACAGAAGAAATGTCCCAAAGAGTAAGTATCTTATTCTGCAAATATTCTTCCTGTTTGTAATGGTCAGAACACTCTACACAGCTAAAAAGAAGATGAAGCACTATGAACTGAAAATCATGGAGTAGTTACTCTTAAGAGACTTCAGATTAATCTTCTTTTTGCATCTTTCATCCTGAAGCTTGCAGGTGTAGTAGCAGAAGCCAGTAATAAAAGTACTACACCATTAAACAAAAATGTAGTCAGTTATAAACCAGGAATACATTCCAAGCTTTTTAGTGCGGACCTGCACTATGATTCATTGCAGTCTCTTTGAGGCTCTGATCTTTTTAAAGGAATCTTAAGTTTATTAATGTAAATTTACAGTTTTCAATCAGTAAATAATTTTCCTCGCATTCCTTTAATTCCTTGTAAAAGAGATTGAAAGCACTGTAAATAATAACTATTTCAAAAAGAACTCAGCTACCTTTTTCCCCTCCATTAAGTCTGACAATATATTGAAGTATTCAGTAAATGTCAAGACTGAATAAGTTTCCTATAAGTTTTTTCCACCCCGTTCTTAAGATAAGACTTGCTAATGTTACCCATTCTCAGTGTTAATCCCATGCTTAGATACTGCATCAGTGTGAGCTCTGGAGTATGCGGGAGGTGTATAATACAAGCAAACTCCATCTCTTCAGGGTGAAATCAGCATGAGTGAGACTAGAAGTGCTCCAAAGCATCAAGAAACTCATGCTGGGTTTGAATTCTCTTTAACACAGTGGAGAGGCTTTGACACTAAAATACAGCTGGAAGTAGAGGTGGAGAGCATGATCCATAGGTTTTGGTGTGCCTTTACATGCTGTCCACTTCTCAGTGTAGATGTAGCCTTCACACAGTAACAGTCCACCTCCCATGTGCCACTTGGGCATGGACAGAAGTACTTGGTGTCAGAACTATGCCTTGTGCAATGTAATTTCCTTGGTGTGCTGGAATACTTTGCTCAGCACGGCACCTAAGGAAGCAGAGGTCCTACTCTGTCAGTTACCCACCTTACCCCATCTGGTGCCAACAACTAACGTCTGCAAACAGCAATCTGATAAATCCTACTTTTTTCTCTGAATTGCTTGCTGCTCTGTTTTCATCACACCTAGCTTTATCAGCTGGACTACAAGTTCCAGGGTTCCTGGACACCCACATCAGGATTTTTTTTTTTTTCAGTAGCAACGTTTACTGTGAACCAGAAGCACATAGGAATCTCATAGCTACTGAAACTATGTAACTGGGTTGGTAGAAGGTGTGTATAGGATCATTTTCCCCCACTATAGTATATTCAGTGCAAACAGTATTCCATTCATGTAAGGCACTTAACTGTCTAAACCGGAATTCATCAGGACCATAGCATGTATTTAAGTACTCTCAGAATCTCATCTACCTACAAGATACTGAAGAAGTCTTTTTTAGCTGGTAAGATTTATTAAAAAGATAAATGTCTTAAGGTAATACCCATTTTAAATAGATTCTACCAAAACCAATTTGTTTCCTCAAATTTACTTTTTTATTACAAATAAAAAAAATTATAGAGAAAAGTAAAAAAGATCAGCTTAGATTTCTCCACTGCACTATTTATCTACTCCAACCTGCCAATCTAACATCTTGTTAAGCACTATAGTGAACACAATTTTGATATTTTGTCCTTGCTTTGTTATTGTGCTATTTGGCCTTTTAAAATGACTTGATTTTTCATAGGTATAGTACAGGAGGGAGACCTGGATTAGAAGTGTATTTTTTTTTTTTATTGTTTTGGCTTTAGTAATAGCACAAAAAATAAATAATAAATCATGCCTACAATGGTTCTTGCATGCCTAATGGTTCTCTCCATGAGCTAAGTAACCACACAGAAGACATATTTAGTTGTTTTGGAATAATTACTCAGTTCTGTTAATAAGAAGCTTGAGAAAGGTTAAAGCTTGTCAATTATTTTCTCTCCAGGGGAAAAAAAATGACCTTCTAAAACCAGGAGTTAATGGATACCATATTTTCTAAGTATAGGTCAATGAATTTATTTTAAAATATCCTTATATATTACAGGGGAGTATCCTTAACTGTGATTAGTCTTCTTTCTTAACAGCGAGATTAGTTTATACCTTCAATTTCTCAAGCCCTGATGCTGAAATGACCACAACAGGGGGCTATTTTGATGGACAGCAATTGATTACAGTACAATTTGAAAGAGGAGGGCATCAGTCTATCTGATTGCAGAGAGTATCATTCAGAAGTTATTATTGTATCAGACTGCAGGAGAGAGCTGGTATCACTTAATTATCTGCATAAATGGTAGTCTACTTGTGCAAAAAGCCATTTATGACTCATGACTTTCTCACTGATAGCCAAATTCTTAGGTTTCCTCTAGATTTTTGTGGGTTTTTTTTCTTTCTTCGTAACATCCATTATCATTAATGTATAAATCTATAACATCATCTCTTATTTGTCTCTTTTTTTAAACCAAATAACCCACTGAAGTGTATGAGTAGCTCAGGCTGTCTCTTCCAATGTGCATTAATGTGCGCTTGCTTACACAGTATTTCATCTGCTAGGGTCCTTTCCAGCTTCCCGGTGTTGCAAGGTCCTCAGTTTCTCAATAATTTCCTGTCACCTACATTTTATGTTAAAAACATCATCAACCTTCTACCTATTTTGCAGCCTGTAAATAAATCCATTACATATGAGAACGATAGCATGAAGGACAGTTAACTCTTTTCTCTCTCTTGGAGAAATCTCTAATATATGCCAGAGTTTGGCCTTTCAGTCGATGCTTCATTACCTTAATAGCCTCTTCTGAGCACTGTGCCATTGTTGAAGATCTTTATACAGTATGCATCATGATACTGAAAATGTTAGTACCAACAGCAATTAAAAATATTTCAACTAACCAAAACTTCTTATTTATAGCAGGGTACTGGTACTTCCAGTGCCATTGATAAAGGATGGCCAAAACGGCCTATAAATAACTGCCTGCTTAAGCAGTGTTGGGGTTCCTTGTTGCTTCATCTCGCAAAATAGTCAAGGTAAGAACAAGTTGATACTAAATACTTCTCTGATATTACCAGCCACCTAAGTAACTGTCAGAGACTCTATTCCAATGCTGCATCATCCTGGTACCCTAATGCTGCATCATCCTGGACTGTACTCAGCCCACAGAGTTGCTAATGCAAAGGCAGACAGATTGTACAATCAGCTGTGCAGTCTTCAGTGTAAAAGACTTGAAATTAATTGAAAGAGGTTTTCCTAGTAAATTGCTAAACTGAGTACAGGAAAATGTATTACTCGTTTCCTGAGATGTTTTCTGAGCTTAATTTTTGAATATATTTTGATTTGGAAGGGGGTAAAGTACTGATTCTATCAGTGGAGATGCAGTCAGGTCTATGAAGTACAATCTCTAATGCTAGAGGTGTGGGATTCTTCTTTTCAGTTTTCTTTAACAGATACACTGTGTAGTGAAGTGAAGATGTCAAAACTAAGAGAAGAACAAGAGCACCTTGATGTATTTATTTTTATTTTCTAAGGCAGAATTTTTCCTGTTGATAGGCTTTTAAATTATGTTCTGTAAAATAGCTCTGATCACTGTTATTTGTACAAACAGCAAAAGCTTTCATGCTTTTCTGCATATTTCAGTTGAGTGTTCTCTCTGGCTTCAATTTAATAAAACTATAAATATGAGAATTTTCTTGCTGAAGCTGTTACCATGACTTGTTTGTGTTTTATTGCAGTAGCTTCTAGATGAAAGGGAAGAAACTCTGGCTGTCTGTATATCCATCTGATTTTTCCCTGTCTTGGAAGTGAAAAGCTGATCAATACATTAAAAAGCACGTTATTTTAAATGCATATGTCCAAAAATATCTATTAATCTTAAGCAGCATTCCACTTCTACATGGACATCATCTCTCTGTGTGCTTTAAGGAGCTGTGCCACTGCAACTATTATTTGTTTAAAATCCAACACAGACTCCTCAGCTGAGCAGGTATCTTCT